AGAGTGATTAAGCTTCAGTTTTAGTTGGGGCTTCTAAGTAGAAGTAATCTTGTAGAAATTTTGCAGCTAAATCAAAATAAAGCTGGATGCTGAAAACCTGTGAAGATCAGATGCTTACAGAGATGCTTTTCCTAAACCATAAAACTAATAAAGATTACTTGTCAATGAAGGGAAAAACAATTGCTGAAAAACAAATCCTCATTTTAAAGATGGAAACAGAGGGATTAACATGCCTGCAACTAAAAAGAGCAATTAAAAGATAAGAAACTTAGAATTAAAGAGCCCACAGAAAACAAAGTGTCATAGAACTATTTGCATTAAGAGTAGACAGAGATCACGGGGCTTTGGCTGGAATGTCCTTTAGTGAATTATCTTCACACAGATTCTTGAGGACTGTAGGCTTCCATATGTCATATAATATAATTAATTAAAAAAAAAGTCAGGAGTATTTCAGGAAGTTCCAGCAAGAAATGTATTAAGTCTTGGAGCTAAAATCCCAGTTTGCATAAATGCTGTCAAAGCCAGCTGAATTGCTTCTGCCAGCTCTGAGCTGGAGGCCAAGTCTTCAAAGCATCTGAGGACAGAGATTGTAAGGAAGCTTTACAGAGGAGTCCACCTCTCCTGGAGACATGCTCTGCATAAAGGTATCTGGGCATGTGCCTGAACACAGAGCTCAAACAGGATCTAAACCAAAGCTCCCCACTGAGAGGTTTCTTGATAGAGCTGCTTGTAGCAGCTTGATGAGATACCCGCCAAAAACTGAAGCATCATTTTATTTATTTGCTAGAGAGCAAGTTTGGACTAGACTGTGCATGTGTGCAATGCAGATGCATGGGAACTATGCATCTATTATTTCCTAATCTATTATTTTGAGTGGAGAAGTGTGAGTTGGGAGAAGCTGCTTGAAATGAAAGCATTAAGTTAGTAGGCACAATGGAAATGATTGAAATGGAGTTGTCAGCCTACATCCTTATACAGGAGGATGAGAAACTGTCAGGCTTGGAGAGAAATGGATCCCTTCCCAGTGCAGATTCCAATTAAAAGGTGAAGAAATTATTCTTCATGTAACGGATGACTTCAGGCCATCATAAAGTAAATTGATGGCAGAAAGACGCTGGCTATTACTTAGTAGAGGAGAGGAACAAAGGATTCCAAGGTGTGGTTCTGGAGGTATTTGAGCATCCTTCTCTCCTGTCCAGCTGGAGTCATTAAAACGTGAAGTGCAATGTGGAAAACTGCAGGGAGATATGGGGTATGCCCTTAAGGAAAAGGAGATGGGAACCTCCTTGGCAGTTTCAGAAAAACATCCACACTTGGAGAAGAAATAGAATGAAGGAAGAAAAGAGCAGATTATTCTGGGGATTACATTTTGCTGTGCACTATAGAGGGTGCAACTGCAGTGCATGTCCCTCAGTCTGGCACCACAGACCATGTGGTTATCTGGCATTTTTGAAAATGGGTGGTGCATGTTGGTGCTTTGATCACTGACACTTCTTAAGGCATCCTGCAAGTGCAAGGGGATGTCCTGCTGTGCTGTGCACAAGTCTGGCTGCAGATCTGTCAGGCTGTCAAACTCCTGGCATCCTGCACCTCCCCAGACCAGCAGCTCCCACCAAAGCTGGAAACAATCTCCTGTCCTTCTGCATGTCTCACATCTGGGACGGCCCAGAGAACTCCTGGAGGTGCTTGCACAAATCCCAAATCACCCAGTCTCTTCCCTGGTTTGGACTGAGGCACTGGGCTCTGTGCCTGGGGATGTGCAGTTACGTTCCTGTTGATGTTGTGCTTCCTGTCACTAGGAATTGTGTTCATGCCTCAGACAACTGCACTAAACTGGCTGAGTTTGGAGTAGGAAAAAGACAGGATGTGCCTCTAGAGCTGCAGAGTCTCAGTAGAGAAGGCATTTTATTCTTGCTGTGTGCAGAAAGATTTCCATGTTTATGAGTAGAAGTTTATTCATCCTTTCACTGTTGTCCTGGGGTCTCAGGGTGCAGCTCTATGTGCTGGAGTCAATGGCAGCACAGCTGGCAGCCAGCTGTGCTCTTCTGCTGTCCCCGAGCCAGATGCTGAGGGACAGCCTGCAAAGTGGCTCTACTGATTCCAGGATGAGGATTTTCTGCACTTTTCTCTTCTGGGAGGTGTCCCCGGGGCCTGTCTTAGGTGGGTTTTTGTGCACAGAGAGCCACAGTAGGAACACTTTTGTTCCTTCTTGGTTTGGTAAGAGAATTCTGTTTAGCTAGGACAAGTCTGTAAACTCTCTAAAGATTCTAAGACAGGAATCTTAGTGCTGGATTTGGAAATGCTGTTTGTATATTTTAAAGCTTTAGGTTTTGTCATTCATGCCTGCAAATGGATATTTTACATATCTCTGGACATTCCTTGTGCTCTTATATATAAAAGCAGGGATGTAGTTGAATTGGACAATCATAAATACTTAATATTTGAATACACAGAATCACTAAATAGCTGGAAATAACTATCTTTTTATAATACCACATATGTATTGGCAATCTGCATAATTGATTGAATAATCAGTTGGTTTGATTGCTTTTACTTGTGTCTACAACCAATTTCCTCAGAGATAAATCTCAGAAGTGCTGGGAAGGAGGTGGAGGAGGCAGGCACAGGCAGAAAGGGAAGGCAGTTTGCATAGAACAATTTTTCTGCCTTTTTATTTCTCTGACAGTTTTTGGACCCCTTCATTTAAGCATTTGAAACACTGACTGAGGTTCATGACTGCTGATTAATAATATATATTCATTGTCATTATTTTCTAGAGATAAATCTGACTTTTTATTCTGAAAACCAACCAACCATCCAAACACAGCTGACTAAAACCTAGAAACACTTTGCAAAGAAAAGCCAATGTTTCTCTCAGAAAGAAACATCTAAAGCAACAAAGTCAAAACAAATTCTATTTCTGTTAAACTCTGTTAAACTCTGGCCCTGCCAGCCCACCTTGGCTCTGTGTTGTTGAAGTCACTGGGCTCCATCCCTGAGTATTCTCCTACCTGGACTTTGCTTGGGTGACTTTTCCCCTTTGTCCTGGCCTAGAGCAGGACTCTCCAGGCACAGCTGACTCTGTATGGGCAGAGCTGCAGTACTGCTCCTGGGCCTTTGCCCTTGCTTAGGAAATTCAGTGTTTGGGCAGCAAACAGGTCTGGTACCTGACCTACAGGAGTTCTGTAGAGGCCACTGTGGAGTCTCCTTCCTGTGGTACCTCCAACAGCCTGGGATAACTCCGGTCTCTCCACATTTGCTGTAAAGGCATCCCATGGGCCACGGTTTCACCTGTGGCTAATGCCCACCTGGTGCTGTGGTAATGTTATCTGTTCCTGTCAGTGGAACATTTCAGAGCCTAGGCATTATAGGAATTAAAGCTGAGAGCCCTTGTGGAGAGGGCCAGAGTGTCAGGCCTGGCTGAGCTGGACGCAGTCAAGGCTGAAGGAAAATCATGATCTGAACCACTTAACTTTGTAGGCACCTGTGTGGAAATGCGAGCAGTCCTCAGACTCCTCTGAACTGGTTGCTGCAGTTGTTCTATTACAGAACTCTGCTGATCTAAACCCAATGCAACACAAAGCTGTCCTGCAGTGAAGTGCTGGGAAACATCACTTTGTGCATTATGTAAACCCAGCATTTCTGGGGGAACATAATCTCAGCATTCTTGTTGCAATATTGACCTGTAACAACACCAGCACAGCACAGGGATTTTCTTGCCAAGCCCACAGGCAGTTCCCTAACAAATGAGAGACTGCCAATGCAGTTGTACCAATGTCCACATTTTTGTACTGCTATTAGGTGTTTTCTGTGACTTTGGTGATGCCAGTTGGGCATCTATTGAGCAGCAGCCACTGACTTTGCAGTTGCCCTTCAGGCCAGCTTTAATGTGGTGTTTCGGAGGAGTTTAAGGGATTACCAGGCAATCTGAAAGACAGCACCTGGCATTTACTTGGTTTTGCACTGTCTTCACCTTTACCAATGCAACTCTGCTCTCAATTACCAAAGTTATCTTAGGGATAGATCCTAGAAATCCCTACAGTGGCCACAAACTGGTTCTGACTCTATGAATAATTTCTCCAAGTTTGCTCTCATGATAGGTTGTGACAGCAAACATTAAAATGGGTTTGATTTCTAGTCTATGAATGATTGTAGCTGTCTTTGTGTTCCTCCATGTATGTTCCAAAGTAAATTAAGGGAACTTCTTGTCTGTTCTTCCTTTAAACTGCACTTTTAATTGTAGGATTTCTCAGCCATGATGGGCATGAACAGTTACAAAGTCACAGTCTGATTATAACATTCCAGCACAGCTTTTCTTGAGCGGCAGCCCTTGCTCCAAGAGGGCTCTTGCTGAGTTTAATTGTTGTGTGTTTTTCTCATTTTGCATTCTTCCATCCAAGACACTGGACAGGCTGCCCTGCTTCCTGTGTGCACGTGGTTTTCTGCCAGAATAGGACCAGTGACATGAGCATAATTGGCTTCTATAATGCTGTATTTCCTTTTCAAAAAACCTTCATGTAATGACTACAAAAGGCAGTCATAAAAAGGAGAGCAGAAGGAAGTCAAATGTCAGGAATTGTTTTATTTCAATGACTGGAAGTAATTTTTAGCCACATTTGTTTCACTAGTGAGTGCCAAAATGATATAAATTTTTGACTGAAGTAAGTGTGCTCCATTTGTCAATTTGCTCATTTGCTGTTGTGGGAGAAAATGCTGAAAGGAGGATTTAAAAAAAAAAAATGAAGTACTTGTACCTGACACTAAATTTTATGGTCCTTTATTTCAGACAATTCTGTCATCTCTGTGAGTTTGGTCTGCCTAAAGATGACAACGTTAAGGACATTTCTGTTAACTCAGTTTTCTCTCAGTCAGGAAGCTATTTGCTTTACTGGATTGATGTTTACCTGCTAGAGAACTTTAAATATAATATTCCTGCATCTGTACATGACTGCAAAGCACACCAATAATGCAGTTAAAAAAAAGAAAAAGAGATTACTTACGGAGATTGGAATAATTGCTGCCTATCCCAATACTGATGGATCTTCCAGAGATGAGAGGAAGATGGAAGAAAATAACTAAAAAGGGAAAAATTAAGAGAAAGGTCCTTAATAGCAGTTTGGTTTTGTTTGGTACCAGATGTGAGTTGAAGGCATGTTGCGTTAAGGTTCACCTGCTCTCTCTGGGCAGGACTGCACATCTCAGACCCTGAGTGCATGCACAGATATAGTTTGAATGGGGGAAAAACGCCAAACAAACCATTGCTTAATACTTCTAGGAATCCCTCCTGTTCAGGAAATGCTATGAATGCCTCTCAGATTCCAAACCCCATGTATAAACAACAATGTGTTATATAAATATGCTAATTATTGTTAAGTCATTCACCAGTCTCTGAAACAGGCACCTACCACTGTAAAACCAAGTAACTCCCCTGATTTCTGTGAGTGCAGCTTGAATGCATCAGGCATGTGTGTGCCAAACTGGGTTGGAATAAATTTAGTCTAAAATCTGATACACATACTCCCCCTATGCACTTAGGCTTTAATATTTATAACTTGCTCTTCAAAGATTTATATTTACAGGCAACAAAATGCACACGAGTAAAACGTGTCCTAAATAACCAAATCTTTAGATTTCTTAAAAGATGAGCTCGTTTGCTAATGCAGACGGATTTAAAGCCTGATTCCCGAGAGCCGCTCGCTGTGTCACAGACTTGGCTCGGGGTCTCGGCGCTGCCCTGCCCTGGCCACGGCGGGCACGGCTGGGAAGGGGCTGGGAAGGGGCTGCTCCCTCCCGGGAGGGGGCCCGGCCCACACAAAGTTTCGGGCAGGGGCCTTTGGGCTGTGGGATCCCCGCAGCCGCGGCTGGGCGGCAACCCGCGGGCTCCCTCAGAGCCTGCCCCGCCGGCCGGGACCGGCCCCTCGGAGCCTGCCCCTCAGAGCCTGCCCCTCGGAGCCGGCACGGCTCCTGCTTTACCCCGGCACGGCTCACGCCTTTGCCCAGCTTGCTTCCTTCCTTACCCCGGCTCGGTTCAGGCTCTGCCTTTCCCCATCTCAGCCCCTTTCCCCAGCCCGCTCCAGCCCTGCCTCCCCTCAGCCCGGTTCAGCTCCAGCCCCTGCGTTCCCCCTCACCGGCTCAGCCCTCACCTGCCCCCGGCTGCTGCCTTTCCCCATCCCGGCTCAGCCCTCACCTTCCCCCGGCTGCTGTCTTTCCCCTCACCGGCTCAGCCCTCACCTTCCCCCGGCTGCTGCCTTTCCCCTCACCGGCTCAGCCCTCACCTTCCCCCGGCTGCTGCCTTTCCCCACCCCGGCTCAGCCCGTACCTTCCCCCATGCCGCCCTGCCCTGCCTTACCCCAGCCCGCCGCCGTGCCCGCTGTCTCCATCCGCCCCCGCCGCGGCTCCCCGGGGGCCGGCGGGGCCCCGCCGCCTCCTGCCGTGCGCGGGGCCGGAGCGGGGGGGCCCGCGGCCGCACATGCCGCGGCTGACCCCGCCGCTCATCCCTCCTGCGGCAGCGCCCGGCAGCGGCCAGCGGCGGTAGCGGGGCTGCTGCGGGGATGCGCTGCCTGCATGCGGAGCTGGAGGCGGACAGCGGCGCCGGAAAGCCGAGTCCAGCCCAGCGCTGGGGCTGGAAGGGAGGGACTGCCTGGGGTAAACCCACGGCGATGGACGGGGCTCTCCGGCAATGCGGAGGCTACAATTCCGTGGGGCTGGATGGGGGCTAGGAGGAGGATGTGGTCATGTAGTCCAAGCGAGAGCTAAACCCACTTTACAGCAGTAACATCTACTTGTTACCAGGGGTCTTGGGCACGTTTCTCACTGTGCTTGATAAATGCCCTAGTGCTGGATGCAGGGGCAGCGGGGCCGCAGCAGGTACTGAAGAGTATGAGCTTTCATAACTGGTTGTTTACCTCTAGGAAAAGCATAATTAGCTTTTTAGGCAAAGAACGTAATTTTCTGAATGTCCTGTCAGCAGTTTGTGGTTTTTCATGATCCAAGTTCCATTGGCAGTATCTGTCCCCCACGCACTCTTTAGTTCTGCAGGACGCTGTGGAGTGGTCCCACTGACCCTGTTTGTGGGGACATGGAGCTGGAGCTAAAGAGCCTTCTTTACTGCCCTGTCCCTGGGTGGTTTTGTAGCCTGGAGAGCAAGTTCTCACAAAGAGAAGGGCTTTGCTGTCAGTATTTAGGCTGTTCACCTTCCCCGTGGTTTAGCAGTGATAGATGCAGGCCTGTAATGAAGTTTGGGGTAGATGTAAAACATGTGGTAAAAAGCTTCCTGCTGTTACTAATCACCCTTTTTGAAATTTTCTTTTCTTCTTAAATCCAGGCAAGCATTAAGAGAGTCTAAGACAATTGAAATGAGGGTTTTTGGGAATTTACAGGTGTGTTTCCTTATGGATCACAGAAACCTGTACCTGTTGCCAAAATTATACTATCTTGGTACCCTAAAATCCCTTAAAATGCTGCTGCAGAAGTTGCCTTGTAATAAATTTATTCAACCCCTCAGAATGTCTGACTCCTTGAAAGACTCCTTGTTTATAATTTCAATAAATGGAAATTTCATGGCTTCCCTTTAGGGGTCTTTGTTGTTTGGTTATGGTATGAAGGTGTGAATCTGTACACATCAGAAAATCTGATTTTCTGTGTGTTGGGTTTTGGTTATGTGCCCTGTGGCCTTGTTCTGCCTGTCCAGAATCATGTATGTGTGTAATGCTGCACTTTAGGATATCAAATATTTTCTCCACTTTAAAGTTCAGGAATTCCTAATGTTTAGCAATTCTGCAAAATTTGGTGATGACATCTTTGTTCAATGGCACTTCACATTTACTCGCAGTATCAGTATTAAGTTTAGTCCTGACAGACTTGGGATGTTAAGTTTGACTGAGTTATCCATGCTCAGACAATTAAATAAGCTCACAAATCCTGGAAAGTGCCTTAGTAACTGACTTTGGATGCAGGGGAATTGCTCAGTATTTGCAGTTCTGAAAAAATCTCTCAGCTTGGATTTAGAGCCCTTTCTGTGAGAGTCTTGTCATTTTGCTGTTGTAGGAGTTGCAACACGGTGCCAACAGGAAGCATCAGAGCCTGCAGGAACATCCCCAAGCTAACAGGAACCTCTGGAAACAGCGGTGCTTGCTGTGCCCAGCTGCAGTGGACTGGAATGGTGTGGGCTTTGCTCACCCTGCTGATTTCCAAATCTGCATCACAAGCATGGAGAGATGGGGGTAATTTTTTACCCTTTTCCCTGTGTGTTTTTCAGCTTTTAGACTTTCCTGTTTTGCTCCTTCAGCTGTGCAGCTGAGTGGAACCTGGCTGTGGAGTGGGACTCGGGCCAGAGCCAGTGCAGCAGTGCTGAGTTGTGTCATGGGGATACTGTGGGTAGTTTACATCATTAGTTGCTTCTTCTGGTAGCATCTGCTTTTCTGTTTTGGTAAAATGGATTTGTATTAAAGAAAACTTGCCACAAATAAATTATTTAACACATAGGAATTTGCTTATGGATGCCATTTGGGAGAGCTGGAACTAAAATAAAAACTATTCAGTATTCCTGCTGCTCTTATCTATTACTTTGGGTTAGTTTGTCCTTCTTGGGACATCACAGAGCAGGAGAGACCAAGACAGAGCCTGTGTGAACCTGAGTGGTTCCAGTCTGAATTCTGCCATCTTCTCATTTTTTCCCAGTCTACAGAAATGGGGAGTGTGACTGACAGGGAGCCCAAGCTCATTTGGGTAAAGTTTGGAATGGTATTCCTTATGGATGGAGCTGCACAGAGTTGCTGTCCACAGTGGCTGTTGCCCAATTTACAGATAAGGAAAAAAAAAACACAGACAGATAATTCTATTCTTGGATTATTTTAAATTTTCTCCAGTTGAGGGACTTCATTATAAAGCTGCCGTCAGCACAGTGACAGACCTTGGCTCAGCTTCCCATCTCCTGGGGTTTGCTTTGGGATCCTTGGGGCTGAGTGGAAGCTGCAGTCTGGTAGCCAATTTTTGTAAGGCAAAATAAATTTTCTTGCTATAATGCGATCACTTTTGACTGAGAATTTTTATGTATTCATAGCAACATGTTTGGGGCATACTGTTTACTATGTCTTTTTTTTTTTGCTTTGTGGAAAAGGTGGTAATGAAATAAATGTCCATTGGATTATACAATTAATCGTAGATAAAACACCTCAGAATGAGCAAAATCAATTAGGGGAAGAGGAAAGTCTTTTCTGCATTGACAATATGGAAGCAGTGAGATCTCATCACTGCTGTGAAATCTGCAGAGCTTTCTGCCCTTGCGTCACCTTGGGCCAGCTCATCCTGCCCTGTCCTGGGCACTGCCAGTGCTCTGGCACTGCTGGAGAAGTGATTACACCAGGCTGGGCACTGCCAGTGCTCTGGCACTGCTGGAGATGTGATTACACCAGGCCCTGGGCTCAGGGAATTCCTTGTTGGAGTCTCCATGGTGTGGTGGAGCCGGCTGAGTAAAACTCAGCCTGCTTCTGAGAGCAAAAGAGGCCAGGGAAAGAGGCTCTGGAGGTTGGTGGGAAGGATCTCATGCTTTCACAGCTCCCTGGGTTCTGAAATGTAATAAGAAGAGTCCTCCGAAGGAAAAGTTTTCAAATCTTCTGAAAAAACTCAAGCAAACAGATGTTTGTCAGTTTTTAAATACTTTCTGAGTTTGGATTTATTGTAGAATTACTAACAAAGGAATTTCCTCCTTGCTGAAAGCCATTTTAATGAAAAGGGCGGAATTAAAAAATATATATATATTTACTGTAGAACATTTTTCAGTTGGCATTTATAGGACGGGTAAATTTATTTTGAATAATATTTTCTAGACTTTTAAATCAAATGTTTTTGTTCTTTAGTCATAAAATCTGTGAAAAGGAAAAATAATTTTAAATTATTAATAGAGATGAAACACATCAGTAACAAATATTTCACAGCAGCCTGAAGGCCCAAAGGCAGAAGTCCTGTACTTTTACCTGCCATGTAAAGGAATGAAACCTGGAATGAAGAGGCTCTCTTTCTATAACTGCCATGGCAGGAAAGGATTCTGTAGGAATTTTATGCCATGCCCAAATTCTCAGAGGCTGTTTTTCTTATTTTTAGCTTGCCAACTTCCTATTCTCTGGAACAAAAGGTGCTCTTGGGCTCTGGGGGCAGGTTTAGTTTCTTATTTATTCACCTGCTTGCAGACCTTTGAGGAAGATGGTGAGTTGTTCTGTCAGTGCCTGCTGTATATTTTTTTAAAATATCTGTATGTATGGTAAGAAATAACTTGGTCCAAGATTGTTATTGAAAATCCAGTATTTCCCCTAAATGCATTCAGTCTTCCTGATGCCAATTTTTAAGGATGTAGAATGGAAAATTTCATCTCAGTCTTCTTTTCCCCTCTCATTCTCTGACTCCTTAATTAAATTTATATCTAATTATGCCATTTATTTTGTGTTGACCTTTCAAAGACCTTAGAGCACCTGATTGTGGATGTAGAGTCTCAGGGTTTATTTCCATGGGTCCTTGAATGAATTTGTTATAAAGGCTAATGTCACTTTCAGAATTAAGGATGGCCAACGGATTGTTAACAAATAGTAACAAATGTGTCCCTGGAGATACAGAACTATAAATATACCTAAATATATAGAAACAAATAATGAATTATGTCATACACAGCATTTAAAATAAGGTAACACCACTACCACCAGCAATAACAGTAAATCTGCATGTCAGAATGGTTATTTTGTATGTTGTAGGTCCATTCTTTGACATGGGTGTTGCACTTGGTGCTGAAAATCCTACATTTGGATGATCAGATCCACCTGTACCCACATGCATGAAACATGGATATACCTGTTCCTAAGGTGAGGGGTATGCATGGCCCTGTGGGGGAACAGGCTTAAAATCTGGTTTTTTGGTGCAGAGTCCACATCCTGTATTGGCAGAGCCCGGTGTGTGCATCAGATGTCAGAGGAAGGAGCAAAGAAAAGGGGAATGAAGGTAAGCTCCTACTGCAGAGTAGTTTATTGACCATTTAAAAGATTGCTGGTCAGTGTAACCTTCATAAAGGTTGGCAGTTTTATGATTTAGTTGTTATTTTTTTACACTGAAATGAAGTATTCGTCATTTACTCTCAGGAAGGTTTTTAAACGAGGCTTTTGATAGAGGGCAGAGAAGACAGCCCTGCAGTGCTGTTAGTGCAGGCAAGAATGAGAATCCAGCCATGCCTTTGTTCACCTGAACCAAAAGTACAAGTGAGGAAAAGGCAGCATGGCAGCAGCCCAAAATGTAATTGTGAGCCAACATTGATTTTATCTCTCTGACACCATTGTGTACTAACAAGAAATACTTCATTCACCTTGAAGTACAAAACCCCATAATTCATGGTTTGTGTTTTACCAGTGAATGCACAAGTCAGTACCTCTCCA